ACAGAGTCGAGATATTTGTTTATTTCATGTCTGCGCAGAGATGGGTGCTAGGTGGTAACTCCACAAAGCTAGCACACCGCGGTTAACATACAGTGACATTTTATACATTCTGAGTAGCTGTTATCAGTATTTTCACAATTCCACTTTTTCATCCTTGCTTCTACTGGTTCTCACAAGCCTCGTCTCCACTTAAAGGTACAGTGTGTTTTAAATTTACAGAGCATGCTCAGTGGGTAGGGGTCTTTGCTTGGGCTGGGGCCTTCATTGCTGGGGGTGTGGTTTTTACTATGTTAATTAGGATAGTTCACTCATAATTCAAGTGATTCTCCTTGGTCTCATCAGCGGTTTTACTCCCTTTGCGCTTATCTTGGTATTTTCTAGTCTGGCTGACTTACGTTGCCATCCTGTTCCTTCTCCCAGGGCCGTGTCTTATTAACTATCTACAGAGGTTGAATAGTATCCTTTGTTTTGTTTCTCGCATGTCTCCAACATATGTACATATGAAGAAATTCAGTTAATAAGATCTTGCTTTGTTTACGTAGGCAACATTTTCTTCCTTTTTGTAAGATTTTTCCACTTGGTGAAAAATCTCTGATACTGTTTTCTATCAGCAATTTGTTTTTATTTACAGAAGGAGGCTTATGATTTTTTTTTTTAATAAACTAGGTATCTGTTATGTTCTTGCATAGACTACAATAAAGGGAATGCTTCAAAAAAATGCTTCTGTAATTTTGTCTCTTCATGTTGCCCATCCTTCCTGGGAATTAATCCTTGTATATGTTTACTTCAATTTTAAAACATGCAGTCAGTGTATGGCAGCTGGTTTCAGCCTGCCTCCCAAAAGTCTGAGATCTTATCCAGAAGGCCCAAATATTATTTAACAGTTACTTTAATAGTTCTAAACAGAAGAACTCAGCATGTCATGCATTTACATTTTGATCTTCTAAATAGTTTAATTCTCAGCATGGTCATGTAGATGTAAACTCACACACACATCTCATGCATTCAGACTGTGTGCAACTACCTGGCTATTGACCTGATTAGCATGTGTAATTAATAGAGTGATGTGAGTGGATGCCAGTGTCTTCAGACAAATGCTGGTTCCTTCTTTCTTGGGCACAAGAAACGTGCAGAAACAGGCTCAGAGGCCTACGCTTTAAACCATGTCTAAGAAACATTTCCTAAAAGTGCAGAAGGAAATCCTCATCAAAACATTATGCTTAATTAACATAAACAATTTAATAGTAGTAGAAACAGTCTTAGATGGAAGCAGATTATCCTATCTAGCCTGATTAAAATAAAGACCTATCTAAATGTGAACAGATGTTTTTCTCTTCTCTTGCAGTCCGTGTGCCACTAGAGTGATTCAGATTGAGCCTCAAGCATATGTGGAAAACAGTGATAATACTTGCTACAGTCCTCCACCCCCATACAGCAGTCACAGTTTTGCACATGAAACTCAGATTACAATGCAGTCTACAGTGCAGTTGTGCACAGAATACGATCCTCATGCACAGGTGTACTACACCACAGCAGAGCCTTGCTCAGCAATATCTGTGCAGCCGGTGACAGTGACGCAAGATAATCTCAGCTGCCAGAGCCCAGAAAGCACAAGCTCAACAAGAGATTTGCTTTCCCAGTTCTCAGACTCCAGTATGCATTGTCTTGAGCCACCCTGTACTAAATCTCCAGTCCTTAAAACCAAAAGCTAAGGTAATCAGAAAACTATTTACCTGTTTTTCAAAAATAGACTTCTGCCTTGCCCAGTAGGAAAATTATCCTGACAATAGTATTAAATATCAGGAATAAATAGAATTATTTTAGAATTACAATTCTTAATAATTTTACACCTAATTTCATACTTTAAAAGTTTTATCTTGGTAGTGCTGTAGTGACATACTTTTCAAATGTAAGTTATGAATGAGGGTTTTGGTGACTTTCAGTAGCCTAAGCTCATGAACAGTGAAACTAAATCTACTTTTTAACTTCATCACCATATAAATTTCCTGTTCCCCTTCACTAAAACACAAATTAGTTTGGCCTTGTAGTATATGTGTGCATAAATACATAAAAGCTTAATAGTATAGTGATAGGTATTAATTTTGAACCTGGTTCTGTGTGCCATTATGAGTTATTAATTTCTTTAGGAACATAAAACCAAATGCATTTCCATTTTCTGTTGCAGATTGTAGTTATTTTTCTTTTTCTGGGTTTACTTGGGCTCAGCCTTTATGGAACTACCCAGGCTAGAGATGGACTGAATCTCACAGACATTGTACCACGAGAAACCCAGGAATATGACTTTATTGCAGCACAGTTCAAGTATTTCTCTTTCTACAACATGTATATAGTGACACAGAAAGCAGACTATCCCAATGTCCAGCACTTACTTTATGAACTTCACAAAAGTTTCAGTAATGTGACATACGTTTTGTTGGAAGAGGATAAGCAGCTTCCCAAAATGTGGTTGCACTACTTTCGAGACTGGCTGCAAGGTAAGAGAGAATTGCATGAACTTTTCTTTTTAATTCTACAGTAGCAAGCAATTATTCACTGTAGTAATGCTCTCCTCTTCCAATACGGTCACATGGTTTAAAGCATGCTAGCAGGAGGGAAAATGCCTAGGTTCTGATCCAAACTCGGACATCAATTCGCTGTTTCTCCAACAGTTCACTTAAATTCTTTGTGGCTAAGTTTACTCCCCAATAAAGCAGTTTTGGAGCTTTAAAAGATTATATCCATGAGAGGTCATCTCATGTCATTAATTTTGAAGTGGCTAATGAGGTGTTCTGATTTATAATTAATGGCCAAATATGGCCCAGTTTCTTGGGAAGATAAATGTTTGCTGAGTGTTTTGAGAACAGTAAATGAAAAGCCCCGGTCCAGCAATATATTTTGGCACAGACTTAACTTTCAGCACATGAGTGATCCTGTTGGCTTCAGCTGGGACTGCTGGCATGAAGAAAGTTCAGTGGGGTTTAGGCATTTTATTGGATTGGGAGATTACTACACATTCTAGACTTCCAATCAAGTATCCTCACTCTTTCTATGGTGCTACTTTTTCTGTGCTGAACTGTAACTGGGAGGGGGGTGTTATAGGTAATATGATGATAATTATATTAAAGTGGGCTTTAAAGGCATGGTATAATTATTCATGTTGAGGCAAGTAATTCTTTTGTATTTAAAATAAATAGTAATGTTACATCTCAGCAAATTTAACAGTTCTCTCTTGTGAGCAAACACATCCTGCCCAGAAATACTTCTGTCCTACCTCTGTCTCTCTGTTGGAAGAATCTTCAGGAAGTTTTTGCAAACAGAAAAATAAAGTATGCTGACCTACTGAGACTGTAAATTTTAACCTTAACTGTTTACAGATGGCCAATGCAGCCAATGATTCTTAGAAAACATGCACATAACTGCCAGTATTTGGAGTGCCTTCAGCCTAACGCACCTCTTCTTTCAGAGGCTCATTTGTATTTTGCTTCCTGGTATCAAATCATGTTAGCATTTTCTATTATCTGAAAATGCAAGAGCAGATAGTTAACATTAATAATTCGTTTAAACTGGAAATGTTAACATTATTTTTGTAAGTGACTGAATGTAAATGAGGCTTTTAATTAGGCTTGTTTTTGCAAAGGATAATCTTATCTCGTGTTTCATGGTGCCAGCTGTTCACATGGGTCAATATGAATTCCTTCCTTACCCCCATTCCAGCATCCAACATACTTTTGGAGGACTTCACATTCTTCCGTATAACATTTTAAAAATTGCCTTAGTTTGTATAATTTCTCTGCAGAAAGGGGTCAACAATTTACTTTTATCTTTCTGCCCAGGAACATTTCATTAATTACAGCTATCTTCAAAACAGATTGAAGGGCTTTTAAAATCATTGGTGTGAACAGTTTATAATAAAAGTATTGTTTGCTTTTAAATCAGTTACTCTGCTATTAATTTCAAAGTGTTATAGGGAATTTTTATTATTGAAATTTTGAAATCCTTCAGAAAGTAAGCACAACTGATAGTGGTTTCTTGGTATTCTTTCTGCAGACTTTCAGTTTCAGCAGTGTACAAGGCCAGTAATAAGATGACCCAAAGTGTAAAGTGGTTAAGCCAGCTGAGAAAGATATGAAAGAGAGCTGGATTTGAGGGATGATCGAACTTGTAAGAACTGTAGCATACATTGGAGGGGGAAAAAGAAGTGAAAGAGCTCACACACTGTAGTAATGTAAAATGTAACTTGCAGCCACAAATTGGTAATGTTGCATGCAAATGCATATATTTGGTATTGTGTGTCTGCTTAGCCCTGTGTCAGGAATTTGATATTAGTCTGAAAGTTCTGCCTCCAAATATTCTCTAGCATAGCAACTTGCCTGCTCCTCCTAAGCTGTCCTTTGAAGGTGTTTCCTTTTTCCTACATTCTTCTTCAACAGCCTCCTCTTAACTCCCAAAGTGATCTTCTACATGACTATTATGTTACCACAAATGCTTTCACTTAACCACTTTCTAAGAAACTGAAATGGAGTAGAGCTGTATTCAGGAAGGATGGATTTGTATTTCTGAATTTCACAGATGTGGTGGGTTGACCCTGCCTGGATGCCAGGTGCCCACCAAAGCCTCTCTATCACTCCCGCTCCTCAGCTGGACAGGGGAGAGAAAATATAACAAAGGGCTCATGGGTCGAGATAAGGACAGGGAGAGATCATTCACCAATTACCGTCAGGGGCAAAACAGACTCGACTTGGGGAAATTAGCTTAATTTATTACGAATCCAATCAGAGTAAGTTGATGAGAAAATAAAAACTAAATCTTAAAACACCTTCCCCCCACCCCTCCCTTCTTCCCAGGCTCAACTTTACTCCCAGTTTCTCTACCTCCTCCCCCCGAGCAGCGCAGGGGAACGGGGAATGGGGGTTGCAGTCAGTTCATCACTAATTGTTTCTGCCGCTCCTTCCTCCTCAGGGAGAGGACTCCTCACACTCTTCCCCTGCTCCAGTGTGGGGTCCCTCCCACAGGAGACAGTCCTCCACAAACTTCTCCAATGTGAGTCCTTCCCACAGGCTACAGTTCTTCACGAACTGCTCCAGCATGGGTCCTTTTCCACGGGGTGCAGTCCTTCAGGAAGAGACTGCTGCAGCATGGGTCCCCCACGGGTCCACAGGTCCTGCCAGCAAACCTGCTCCAGCGTGGGCTCCTCTCTCTCCATGGGTCCACAGGTCCTGCCAGGAGCCTGCTT